AAACACAGACTTTGGTGAGTTGGCACAAAATTACAGTTACTCCTCAAAATTTAATTGGCCTAAAAGGGTTTCAGTAGGTCAAGTTATATGAAAATCGTAGAAGAACTTTGAGAATTTTGTGTATTAATTAATTAGTGCATGGATGACGCTGGGGTTAGGATTTTTAGGTTAGGATTTTTAGGTTAGGATTAGGTTCTATTTAAATTCTATTTAAATTTTTACCTTTCCGCGAGCATCGCAAAAGAACATAATTACATATGGTCCTTTTAATCGTATTCAGATACAAAAGGGGCTGTTTTTATTCAAAAATTGTAACTTGCTAGTGTAAATGGGGTGTTGTTTTTGATTGAGGCGACGTATTGTGCGCATGCTCTCAGTCATGATGCGTCTCTTACTTAATATCTCCAAGTAGCTCCATGTCATGGCCTTTCTGCCTCTTTGCAAAGACTTGGTGACTAAAAATGACAGGCTTTTAGAAATTATCTTGTGATTGACTGAGACTTTTTAAAGAAAACAACAAAATAGATAAAAACAAAAATACAAAACAAACAAAAAGTAATAGAAAAAAGAAAGTTTGAAATGTGAGAAACAAAAAATAAGGCAGGTAATAATAGAATTGAAAAATAAGAAAATGCCAAAAAAACAGAAAGCTTTTTTAAAAAAGCTCTCTGGTTATTTGGCATTTTCTTATTTTCATAAATATTGTTATACCCTCACAAAGAACACTGACGAAATAAGTCAGTCCAATTTATAGAGACTCACCACCAGTCTCTTCAACTGTTACTTCAACTGGCCGGCTTGGCTCCTAGTATTGTATTTTGCTTCATGTAAAGCATGCATACTTAACCGTTAACTTTTATCCTTTTTCGTGTAATGATTGTGCTCTATTGTCTTACCTAGTTAATCTTCATTTTTCTTATCACTGTTTTTTTTTTCTGAAAATTATATTTTTAAGAATCTAACTAATTATTTTTATGTATGTATGTATTTATTTATTTATTACACAACCCGCCACGAATAGCCTTTTGCTATCTGCGGGTTGTGTTTTGATTTTATTTTGTAACAAGGATTTTGAAATAAAATTGTTGTAAGTTGTTGTTGGTCCCATCAAGCCTAGCAGGCCTAGCAAGGACAAAGAATAAACTGACCGATACACGGATCCTGATCATAGACCAGTAGGTACAATTGTGAAAAACAATTCCCCAAACTTTTACCCTTGACAGTCTGGTGTCGGAACTTGTTGTTCACAATATATAACCGACAGTCAAATAACCTGCTTTGAAGTATTTGAGGAAAAGATAACAGATAAAGAGGGTAAAAGTGAGGGTCCCTAGTAGGTTTTCCGGGATATGGGATTTCCCTTATTTGAGGCTCGGGATTCGGGATTTTACATCAAAATCAGGGAGGGATTCGGGATTGAAAGTATGCGAGAGAGGTGGGATAACAAAAATAACCCTCCGGATTACGGGATTGCTCGAAATCTTGGGTCAGGATTACGGGATTGAAAAACCCTATTTGGGGATCCTCAAAAGTGGTGGTTTGGGTTGAATCTAGAAAAATGCAGCTAGGCACATGGGAGGGTCGAAAAAAGAAGGTAATCAGTGGAATAAATGGAACCTGCGTGGCAGACGTTCGAAAGCCGCGAAGTAACCATTATTTAACAATTAAGTAAGTAAGCAAGGTTCAATCTCAACATCATCGCAAATTAATGAATTACAATGTTGTTACAAGCATTCTAAAAAATAAGATTACAAGCAAATCGTATGAAAAAAGGGACTGGTTTACAATAATGATGATAATATGTAATCGAATTACCAACAATTCCAAAACGATTTTTAATATATATATCTGGCCTACTTTTTGAAAAACAACCTAACGAAATTTGCAGTCATTTGAGTGAAAAGGTGTCAAAAGGCAGGTTTCTTAAGCCCGAGAAGCTCCAAAATTATCGTAATGAAGGAAAAGGAAAGGAGAAAGGGCGAGGAGAAGGAAAGGAGGAGAAGAGAGAAAAGCAATGGTTGCAACCTTACCTTTTATAACAGCTACTTTGGAGACAGTTTTTGGTCCAAATAATTAACCTGTTGGACGCAAAAGCTCCATTTGGCGATAACGTTGTCAAAGCTCCGACTAGATCAGTAAAAAAAGAACATTTTTATACATGCAAATGATATGATCTATGTAGACTCGATTTTCTAAAGTTAAGATTATACTTGGAAAGAAACTACGAAGTAGTCTTTCAGTCCTGCATTTGGACATCGTCATGTAGTTCTCTGTATTTCTCTTAAATGGTGATGCACACAAACCCTCGATTTAGGTCTAAAGATGTTTAGAGAGTAGCCCCCTTGTTACGCCGCATAGTTCACTGCGTCTTTCGTCTAATCTAGGTAAGTTAAGAAAAAGAAGAGCTTCTCATGAAATCGCAAGTACAGGCACCCAGGGCACTGCACCCTGGTCTGCACACGGGACACTGGACTCTGAATTTAGGACTTACTAAAAATGATAATAATTACTCCGGAATCACCCTCCAAAAGAGAGGATAAAAAGGATAAAAATCAACCCTCCCGCGCCACCTTTTAAAATGAGCGACATAGTTGGACCGTACCATAGAGTGGCCCTAGACTGGGCTCCGGACTGGACCAGAGAAAGGACTCTGGACCCTAGACCATCACAGGGGTGATCCATGGATCCGGCATCCATGTTTTGTATACATCCGGGAAAAAAGGCGAGCGAGTGGGTTACGGGTGAGAGCGAGCGAACGCCTGAAGTACTTTTAACAAAAGCTCGTTTCGGTATACCAGATTCTGGTACACCCTAGGCCTATGATTGGCCTATTTTGACATCTCTTGTCAGCACTCGGAGGTTCATTACCTTGATTGGAAATTTGATGCGGTAGCAATGAGATATTACACAGCAGGTTATCTCGAAAGCGTGGTGAAGTGTTTCGAAATAAGCAACATCATCCCCGAAGAACAAGAAAAATCGTTTTGAGGCTGGACTGATCTCGTCAAATGAAAGTAGGGCTTCGAAATTTTACCAATTATTGGCTTTCAAATGAGCTCTTTTTTTTCAGTTCTCAGTTCAGAAATATGAAATACGCGGGTGAACCTTCTATTGATATGAGCCTTTGTTTAGCCTGCGAATACAGCTGTTTCTCCTTGCCCCTCGCCAATAGGGGCATTTCTTCTTATGTCGCTACTCAAGTACAACAGTTTAACAGAGTTGGAGTCGCTACAACAGTATGGAGGTGTGGACGAATTGGCTGTGATTCTGCCGGGAAAATCTTGAAATTCAACATTTTGCCGGCGGAATCTTGAAAATTCAAGATAAACCAGTAAGAAACCACGATAAAAATCGTTAAAATGCGAGAAACTACCGATTTGAACTATGAAAAAGGACAATTTCACTCCTCCCATGGGGTGTTTTCAGAAATTGCTTAAGGGAGCTTGTCCCTCCCTTGGTTGCCTCGATCATGGCAAAGTTTGAACAAATTATGGAGCGTTTTGGAAATATTTTGAAACAAATTTTCATGGGCCATAAAAACATTGAATAAATATGCTATCGACATGCATAACTGGCTCATATCTAAAGAAAATGATGAGGTCTTCAAATGCAGTTTCGTCTCATAGCATAGCTATTGATTTCCGAAGATATCTCCGCGTTATGCTAATGTAGGAGATCATGGTAAAGACAACATCTTTAGCGTCACTTTTTCATCATGTGGGACACAGAAATAAATCGCTTTGCAATAGTTTATTTGAATTTATGTTTCCTTTTTGCAAAACCTGTTTTCAGTCAACTTATTTAGCTTTATTTTCATTGGTACGAAGACCCCTGAACATGACAGGAAAGTAATTGAGGATCCTTCTGAATGCAAATTAGAACAGCTAAGTTCTGCAAATCAAGACCGATATTACAAATTATTACAAAATCGTCCACTGACGTTCTCTAAAATTAGGCAAAACTGCTTTAAAACTTGTTTGAAGAAAAAGATGGCTTTTCGCCGCACCATAGGGATCAATGGGAATCTGAAAAAAATTATCCATGTTGCCTGTATGGATCATACAGATCATGATCTAAAGTTTTTAATATTTCATTCACACCTGGCATGGACTGAGGTTAATTACCTATCAGTTTTTAAGGAAAGGAAACAATAATACAATTCTTTTCTTGTACAAAAACAAAAACGTTTACTTCATGCTTGTTTAAATTCTAGGAAACTACTTAACAGAGTGATTACAATAATTAATGTGGAAAATAAAGCCAGGAAAAAGAAATACTTTCACTTGGTTTGAAAGAAAAAGTTTCAATTAGAAATTTTGTCTACCACTACCGTTGACGTGGGCTTGATACCTCAGAATAGCCGTTTCAAGAGCATCTGACATATACTAGAAACCTTACGAAACTACGACGGCGACGGCAAGGAGAACGCCTAAAATACAATAGGCTTCAGTGAGCAAAACAACAGCCCCTGCTGCACGTGCATCACGCTTTTTTGTACATTTCTCCGCTCTTCCTACACAACTACACATGGAATAGTCAATTTTTTTTAGTTGACGGGCTTAAAAACTGGAACGACAAGGCGATAAATTTATTTACTATTTCTCTCTGAACTCAGACGCGGTATCCTCTCTTCAGTTCCAACCTAACGCATGTTCCGTACTTTCAATTCACTGAGCGACGTGGTATGAGGGCGAAAAAGTTTCAATGGACGCGAAGTCTAATTTTCAGCGACGTTTTCATTGGCGTCTCTGTTTTCAAATAGTAAGGTCCCTATTGGATTGTATTCTTATCGTCCTTTGGTTCTTGTACCCTCCTTAAACACCAGTGCTTCCAAACTATGATTTGACACAAACCGTCAGGGATTTGCCGGCCCCAAAACTGCCGCCCGCGATGCCTTACACAATCCGCTATCAAAGGCAGTTCTGCCAACTAATATTAAGATCTATGTCCTTCAAAAATGATCAAGTGGAAGGCTCTACACGGTTACTTTTCCGCCTAAATTAAACCACCTGACTGATAAGCCTTTTAAACTCTTTCTTTATGTCTCTTTTGAAAAAAGCATAAGACAGTGGGTTAACGGCCGAGTTTAAAACCAAGACAGGAATTTTGTATTGTTCATCTTTACATGATGCATTTGTGTCGAATAGTACTACGAGACTACAACTTAAATATATTCCATAGCACACAACAAACACTCCTATCACAATACCCATCATTATTACTGCAGACCTCTCGTTACGGGTTTTAAAAGACATCCCATGGTTAAAACGTAACTGTTTTGCTAAAGTACGTGCTGACTGATCATGTTTCCATACATGAAGTAACATTGACACAAAACAGAATATCTGCAGAACGCATGGAACGATTTCCATGAAAATCATTAAAACCACAACTGCAACGATACTGGTCAGAGGGGTCTCACAGCAAAGCCGAAGTGCTGTCTTGAACGCAACCAATGTGAATGACGCTATCCAACAGGAAGTTATCACTTGAATAACACGAGATCGAGTCATAAAAGTTATGTATTTAAAAGGCTTTACGATGGCGATAAAACGGTCTAGCACCAGAGAACACAAGTTTAAAACAGACAAGTAGCTAAACAGCCACCTTACGACATCTTTCCATGACGGAAAATTCTGAGGCCACTCACAGGTGCTTGTAACGTCGCATATCAACAAAGAAGGAATAACGCTTAAACCAACACAGAAATCCGCTACTGCAAGTGAAACAATAAACGCGTTGGTTTTGGTGCGGAGATTTCGTCTGCTGCAGACGAGGAAGATTACAAATCCATTTCCAGTGATGGCAAGAAAGGAAAGAACCCATCCAAGAATCCAAAACCAGGTCTCCATCCGTACTAACGGCAGTTAAGAGAAGTTCTTATTAAATACAAATAAAATAAAAATATCCTCTTCGCAAAATTGTCAGGAGGTTGTGAGTTATTCACTGGTAGATGTATGTTACTAGACTGAAGTCCTTTTTATTGTCCTACTTTGTCATAAACTTGGTAATTTCTAATAATTATGTGTTTCGCATGCGCAGTAGGTAACTGACCGAGCTGTCGCAACACAGTTGGTAGGAAAATGAGGATAGTTGCGTGTTATAACCGCTGTAATTCAAAGCCAATGGGTGCTTTCAATACAACAGAAATTCCGGTTCAAATGTTGGAAATTCCACTTGCCCAATGGAACTATATCGACCCGAGCAAAGCCTCGGCGAGTTTGATTACTGTTCCTACAAATGGAAAGGGACACTCCAACAATGCCGATCTTAATCTAAATAGCTCTGATCTGACTGGATCTTAATTATTCTCTTTACAACTAAACCAGTCTGGTCTGTCAGTTCTAACACATGGAATTAACCGAGACCTGATGAAAAATGATAAAATTAAAGGAACCTTCACTTTAGTCTAAATTGCGGCACATGTTTCTCACAAATTATGACAGGTCTACTACAAATTACGACAAAAGTGCATTAATAAATAAAAAGACTGTCTCTAATATCACGTACAGCGAGTTACTAAATTTGCCTGAGAACGTTTCCGCCGTTGTCGTTAACCATTCCTAAGCGAGAAAAAAAAAAGAAGACAGATATGAGCCAGCACTGCATCACGGTAATCTGCCTAGTCTGTCCCGTTTAATAAAATATTACATGCAAACGAAATTAAAACAGGTAAAAACAGCTCTAGCCATACTAAATAGAATAATTATGCAAAGGTTTTCAGTTAATAAATAAAGCTGATCACGATGTGCAACAGAAACACAATGTCGCTACGTTTTTTAAGGCAGTTCAACTGTGGAAAAAACACCCTCTTCACAAAATTCTTGTCTAACCTTTATTAATTATTTATAAAACCTTGTTTTATAAAACCTTGTTTTTTATAATCCTTTCAATATATAGATGACGAAAATTAGCCTTGCGTTTGTGTAACCGGGGCGAAAAAGGTGATAAATTTGATAGCTAGAGTCCTTTTTCCATATGATAAGTCATAATTATTGTGCATTTTTTTCATTTCAAGTCACACCTGCAGACTAAGCTGAAATGAACTTGCACGGATTATTTATTATTTCAAAAGCGAGGACCCAAAAATTTTACCCCCTCTTAGGTTAACAGCCCAAAAATCCTGCCCCCTCCAGAAATGTGTGCCCAAAAAATTGTAACCCTCCCCTGTAATAACATTTCGAGTATTCAAATGTTGTATCCTCGGAATCCATATGAGCGTAACTTTGAGACAATTTTTTCATTGGAATAAAAAAAAGTGTTAGTATTCACAATATTTACGAAGCTCATTTACGCTTCACCAAGTAAAGAAAACCATTGACAGCCCCACTGTCACTTATTGAATTCCTGTCTTCTACTCAACTTGAAGAGTGAATAAATTGTGCATAATAACTTGTCAGCGAATAGCAAGAGGAAAATTGTCTCTATTCACGGAAAGTCCGCAGCTCTTGCTCTACCCCTCCAGGTCCTGCAAGTTCGGCCATATCGTGTGGTCTATGT